ACTGATGATATCTTGAATAATGAGTGGGTCAAAGAACAAATTACATAAACAATACATAATGTTGAAGAGGGTAATAATGAGGCAAAATGTAAAAACTTATGGGATGTGGATAAAACGAGTTCTGATTAATTTAGTTCTCTGAAGAGAAACTAACAAAATAAAAAAAAGAATAGATCAATGAACTGAATATGCAATTAAAAAGACTAGGAAATAAAGTAGCAAAACTAAAACAAATATAAAAGAAAAAATCTTAAAAATTAGAGAAGAGAAACCTTTTATTTAAAAAAATCAAACAAATAAACAAGACTGAGGCTGATTAAAAGACATTAACCAACATACTCAAGAAAAAGATAGGAAGGTCAAGTTATCTAAATAAAAAAGTGAACAAGATGAATTCTCAGCAAAAAGAATATAGATTTATTAGGAATTACTACATATAATCATATGCCTGCAAAATAGAGAATTCCAAGGAAATGAATGAGTATCTACAAAAAAACAAAACAAAACAAACAAAAAAAACACCTTTAAAGTAAGCAAACAAGAAATACACATGTTAACCAAATCTCAGAAAAGGTTAACTGAGCAAGTCACAAATAAGATGTCAAAGGATTTGAGAACCTGGGCTAAATAGATTTGTAAGTAAATTCTATCAAACTTTAAAGGGGAATAAATACTGATGCTACAAAAATTATTTTCAGATATAGTGACAGAAGACACTCTAACAAACTCCTTTTATGTGTTGAATATGATCCTAATTCTCAAAACATGGAAAGACAAAATAGATAAAACTATAATCCAATTTTGTTAATGCATATTCAAGATTTTTAAATAAAATTATTGAAATGAGATTGTAGCAATAAATTTAGAAAACAAAACAAACTAATTCACTATGATCAAGTTGGATTTAAACCAGGGATACCAGGATGGTTCAATATCATGAAATCACCTTCTTACCTCATGGACTACTTACTGGTACCCTGCTGGTGGGCCTGCCTGGTTCAACTCTTTCCCCACTCTAATCCATCCACCATTCAGCTGCCAAAGTGATTTTCCTATAAACTCCAGTGATTCTCCATCCCTTCCAGGATCAAATACAAAATCTTCTACTTAACATTCAAATCCTTTTATAACCCAGGTGCCCCCCCCCCCAATCTTTCCAGTCCATCATGTATTCCTTGATTTAGGGACACTGGCCTTCTTGCTAACAAGACCCTCCATCTCTTGGCTCTGAGAATTTTCTCAGGCTGTCCCCCATCCCTAGAATGTACTCCTTCCTCATCTTTTCCTCCTGGCTTTATTGAAGTCCCAAATAAAATCTTCAACCTCTCTTAATTCTAGTGTCTTTTCTTAGTTAATTATTTCCTATTTGTTTTGTACTTAGCTTGTCTCTGCATATTTGTGTGCTTGTTATCTATTCCATTATACTATAAGTACCTGGAAGGCAGGGCCTGTCTTTTGCCTCTTTTTGTATCTCCAGCTCTTAGTACAGTGCCTGGGCACATGATAGGTGCTTAATAAATGCTTAATGACTATGAGAAGATAAAATTATCTCTAACTGAAGATAACAGTATACTCAGAAAACCCTAGAGAAATCGTAAAGCAAGATAGTTCCTGACTTGAATATCCTGTAGTCACCTAAAACTCAACATGTCCAAAACAAAACTCATTATGCTTCTTTAAAAAAAACCCATACTTCTTCCAAACTTTTCCATTTCTGCTGAGAGTACCACCATTCTTTCTAATCATCACTTAAACTGTGGGTCAAGACATATGGAATCGAAATCCACAGTTTAAGAAGTGCTGAAGGGGTCATGAGTGGGAAAAGTTTAAGAAGCTCTGATCTAGGGTTACAAATTTGGAGTCATTCTCAGCTTCTTTTTATCTCATCCCAAAGGTCTAATCAGTAGCTCTACTGTTGAACTGCCCCACTCCCCCAACATCTCTTCTATCTGCTCACTTTTCTCCATTTATTCCATAAATATTCTAATTCACATTCTTCTCACCTCTTTACCTTTTAATTGTTCTTCCTGCCTCTAATCCTTCTTCTCTCTACCTTCCACATAACTGTCAAAGTGACTATTAAAGCATACATCCAACCATGTCACTTCTCTGTTCAATAGGCTCCTCATTACCTCTAGGATCAAATAAAGTTTCCTCCCTTTGGCATTTAAAGCTTTTTACAACCTGGCACCAATTTAGTTTTTGAGGAGTATTGCATATTATCTGCCTTCATGAACTCTATGATCTCCAGCTAAACTGATCTTCTTGCTCTTTTTTCATAGAACATTCCATTGCCTATCTCTGTACCCTTTCATAAGCTATCTTCTCATGTCTGGAATGCAATTCTTTTTCACCTCTGCCTCTCAGAATTCACAGCTCTCTGCAAACCTCAGTCAAAATATGACCATTCTGAGGCCTCTCCTGATTCCCTACTAGCTTGCTAATGCCTCTCTTCTAAATTATCTTGTATTTATTTTATATTTATTTTACATATACTTATCTGTGTACATGTTGTTTCCTTGTTAGAATATAAATTCTTGAGAGTAATTCTTTTTCTTTTTTATCGGTATCCCTAGCACCAAGGACAGTGGCTGCCAAATATTAAGGACTTGATAAATGTTTGTTGATAGAGTCATGGTTTCAGTAAAGTAGCAGGCCACAAAATTAGTCCATAAGAAGTTATCAGTATTTCTGCATAGTAATAATAAAAATCGGGAAGAAACTGTAAAAAAAAAAATCATTCAAAATAACTACAAAATGCAGAATTATTTGGTAGTTAACCTACCAACACACTCATGATATTTACATAGGTTGTCACAAAATTAGGCTCTTAAAGTTTAAAACTGCACTAAAACTTTGGGACACCCTGTATCACTACAACTACAAAGCATAAAAAAAACAACAAAACCAAACAAACAGGTAAATAACTAGAGAAACAGTCCCTGCCATGGATGGGCCATGCCAATGACAATATCATAATTAAATTACTGATTTAATGCTACCCAGAAACAGAACTAGGCAAAATAATAAAAATTCATTTGTAGAGGGAAAAAAGATCTACAATATCAAGGGACATAATATAGAAAAGAAGGAATGAAAGGGGTATAGCTTAACCAGACCTCAATATTATAAAACAACAGACATCAGGCCTTGTTAAAAAAAACATAAGAGTAGAACAGTGCAAGAGATTTGAAAAGCAACTAAGAATAGCATTCTGGCATTTAATAAAGCCAAGAACTTAAATTAATTTCAGGGCTCTCTTTTCAGCAAAAACTGCTGAGAAAATGAGAAAGTAGTCTGACAGAAATTAGATTTAGACTAGCATTTATACCATATAGCATAATAAGCATGAATGGGTATGCAACTTGATTATTTAAGATCTCATCATTAGTAAAAAATTCAGAAAAGAACTGGAAACAAAATGGATGCTCATTGATTGGAGATTTGATAAATTAACGTACATAATGGAACATTATTGTGTAGTAAGAAATAACTAATATGATAAATTTAGAGAAACATAGGTAGATTTGTATGAATTGAAGAGTGAGATTAGCAGAACCAAAAAAAGATGTACACAATGATTTGTTTTTTGTTCATTAATTTGGTATGTTTAATAGTTCATTGCTATATGGGATCAATGAGGAAATTCCTTCTACTAAGGCAATTAAATTAAAGTTGAGAGGTTAAATCACTTGCCTAGGGTAACAAAGTCAATAAATATCAGCTGTAGGACCTCCTGTGTCCGTCCCCCCCACCAGAAGTAGGCTCTCCAGTCTCTTTTCCAAGCTACTCCTCATTCATTATGATTACAACAAAGTAAGTGAAAAGATCACCGTAAGAAAGGCAAACTCTGAGTAAATGAAAAACCAATGATAATCCTGAAGAATAGATTTTTTTTTCAAAGGAATACTAAGATCCTGAACACTTCTGGCACCAATTATGTTTAGCTTTGGCAGTAGACACAATTACTCGATAAGTTAGGGAATATTAAAAATGTTACTGGTTCCTGGAATTTTCTGATTAATAATATGCTAAATATTAATTTCCATTGAGGGTAGGGACTGTCTTTTGCCTCTTTTTGATCAACTAAGATAATACTTGCTAAGAAAGCACTTAGCCAGTTCCTAGCCCGAGGTAGGTGTTATAAAAATGCTAGTTATTATTATTGTGTCCTCAGTGCTTAGAAGTGTTTGGCATTAAGTAGGGCAAAGGAACACATGATATATATAAATAATATAATTATACAATATACACTTACATAATATATAAATATGTCATATATACATATATAGTTACAATATCTATAAATAGTACAAATAAATGTAATTTGTTTCCCTTTCAACAGTAAACAAGCACTAAATGCATATATAATATATATTACATGTCTGCACTATCGATGTGCACATTTATGTATATGTATCTTTATGTATATATACATTTACACACATTTTAAAGACAGTTTTCTTTGTACTAAAATTTTGAGATACAGTATATAGGGCTCGTTCGGGATAATGCTTTTATTTCCGTAGGGCCTACGGACCAACTGGTTTTTTCCTTAGAACCCTGAATTAGATTTAACAAATGCAGTACACATCTGCTCAAAAATTTCAGCAATAATCAAGGGACTCCTAAATGGAGGTCCTGGGGGGGGGGAGGGGGGAAGGAGAGAAACGTTAGAGTAAGTTGGAGATCCTGAGACCGTCACGAAAAAGGCGGAACTCAAACAGGAGACACTCGAGTTGAGAGCCTGCGTGGACATCATCTCTCTCCCTTCTCCTTCCTTGGGAGGGCAGTTTCCAGAACGTCCCCGGCCGCAGCCCTCCCAGCCAGATGCAGTCTCGCTCCCGTCTGAACTCTGTTCCCTTCCCTCTCCCCCACATCCAGCTCCCTCACATGGGGCCATCTCCATTCCCCGAACAGCGGCCGAGAAGAACACTGAGAAGCATTGCCACGGCTGTGGTGGCCCCGCAACGAGTCCGGCCAAGGCTCTCAAAGCTCACCTGGTTCTCGCTGCCAGCCAGTCCTCCCTTCCAGAGAGCCGTTGGAACGCTAGGCAGTAAGCTTCCTAGGCAACGCCGCGCTTCCCTCTGGAGGATGTAGTTCCGGTCGCGGCAGGCAACCCTCTCGTACCTTCACGAGGACTACACTTCCCAGAAGTCATTACGAGGGAGCCTGCTTAGAAACCTAGTGTTATTTAAAAATTGAACGCCAGTCGCTGTTTAGGAATTACCCCTGGGTCCCACTTCTTTTTTGCATTGCCCTTTCCTGTGCTCTGCCAAACTCTTAGAGTATACACTTTTCTTTTTCTAACTTCAGGCGCTGCTAAGGCCAGGATAGGCTCTCGGAGGCGGGAAAAGTCTAGGTGCTTAGTACGCATGCGTCCCTCTTCTTCCCTTTCAAGACTGCCCATGCGCGGAAGCTCGCATCAGTTGGCCGCCGCGTGGGCTGAGGGGCATCTAGTCCGTGGCGGCTGGAAGGGCGGGGCTTTCTCCTATGGTTTTTCCCCGGCGGGTCCGGTCCACCGGGGCGGGGAAGATGGAGCTGGGCCGTAGGGGCGGCTCCCAGTTTGTGCCGGGCGGAAAAAGGGGAGGGACTGGACCGTCGCTGAGGACCCCCTTCTACTCCCCTCCCCACTCCCGCCCTCTGGGCCGGTCCCCGCCGATGGGGCAGGGCGAGGGGGCGGGCTTTGCACCTCGGGCCCAGCAGCAACTGCGGCTCCCTAGGCCCTGTCGGGGTCACCCGCTGCCTCCTGGGGCCGCGGGACTTTGGCTCAGTCCTTGTTGGGGGGCGGGGTAGGTGAGAATTAGGCGATTCGGAAGGGGCAGGGGGTATCACCACCCTGCCAGCGGCAGCACCACTTCGGGTAGAAGAACAAGACCGAGAGAGAGAAGGACGGTCCGCCCCCTACCCCCGTGGCCCAAGCAGCTGATTTTTCTTTTTCTCCAGGATTGAGAACAGAAGTCCGGGATCAGAGGGACGCGCACACCGTTCTCCCTCCCACCCTCCTCGGCCTGCCAGCCCACCGCTCTTCCCCGGCAGGAGAGCGGGAGGGAGGAGTTGCGAGAAGGCGGGGCCTAGAGAGAAGGCGGGGCCAACATAAAGGACTGAAGAACTAGGGGTGGTGGTGGAAGAGAATCTCCCCCCACCCCCCCGCCAAGGAAAAAACAACAACTCCCAACTGACAGGCGAGCTTTCCTCGCTGGCCACCCTCGTGGGCAGAGCACGGATTTGACAGCTCCCCGGCGTGAGGACGGCGGCTGACCCCGCCGGGCAGGAGAGCGAGGTTTCCTGGCTTCTTCCAAAGACCTCAAACCCAGGCGAGGTATCAAGCGGTCTGGCTGGTGCCCTTTGCTCATCATTTTTTAACCCTCTTCAGAAAAAAGATCTTCCTTCCAAGGCTGCCCCTTGTTGGAGTGAACTTTGTATAGTAGAGACCCCTCCCACCCCCAGCATTGGTTTCAGAGACTCAGCCGTCTGATTTTTCTAGTGCCCCCAAAACGCGAGTCTGCAATTGACGATTGCTGTTCTATGATTGGTCCCCAGCTTAAGCCCAAGCCAAAATTGATTTCATCTCTGGGTGTAGTTCTGAAGGTGCTTTCGGTGACATGGTGAAAAGGGAGTGAAGATAGAAGGGGGCGGGGTTGGGGGGGGGGAGAAACCCAAGGACGCGATGGCTGAGGGAGAGAATGAAGTTAGGTGGGATGGATTGTGCAGCAGAGATTCAGCTACCAGAGACACAGCGCTGGAAAACATTAAACAAGCAATCTTGAGGAAAGCTGAGCCTCTTCGTTCTGTGAAAGTCCTGCCTTATCGTTCATCAGAACAGCCTTTAAATGCTGCCTCTTGGGATGGGTTCAATAGAATCCTTGCTCGTCTGCTCATGCTTTCCAAACGGTGTCCCTTTGAAGATGTAAGAGAGAAAAGTCAGTTTATTTTGAAGTGTGTCCAGGTAAGAAAGAGCACATTCGTTATTCTCTGGTACCTTGGGATGAGAGGGGAAGCTGCTGTTTCTATTAATTAAATCCATATCCCAATTTTCGTTTAACGTGTCCGTAAAACTTGCTTTAAAAATATTTTGATGATCATTTAAATAGAATTGATTTCCTTGTAATCCTATGTATTTCCTAGTGCATTTAAAAACATTCAGAAAAGAGGTACATAAGGCTTCGACAGATTGCCAGCTGGGTTTATGACACACAAAAAAGGTTAAAATCCCCTGGTTTGAGAGAATATTCTGTGAAACAAACAAAAAAAAAGTCTTGTGGTTGTATTGCCGGGATTAAAATAGAAAACGGCTATTCTGAACTTATTACATATGTGTGTATGTAAACACATACTACTGAAAATTTTTTCCAACTGTAAGTATATATAAAAGTTACTTGTTAGTAATTACAAGTAAATACATGCTTCTACTTATGTCCATTTTAAACTTATATCCCACCTTTTTTATGAAACCTACCCAACCTGTTTTTAACATTATTGAATACTGTAACCCTCTCATTTAAAAACCTATAAAATAATAAAGATTCACCCTTTCCTAATTTACTTTTTTTTTTTTTAAATTTAAACAGTAGGTGAAATAGTACTGTTTTCTCTTCTGCTCTCAAAGGAAATTCATTTTTCTCCAAATTAAAGGTTGCAAGGTCAGAAGACAATTCATTTCCTTTTTTCTCTCTGAAAATTAAAAAAAAAACCCAGTATTCATTGTGATAAAGGGGCTAAAACTTCTAACTATATAAAACCAAATTATTGACTATTCTGTGTTTTCTGGTGTTCTTTCTTTTTCCAAATATACTTTGTTGTTAAATTAGTTGGAAGTTCAGTAGATTAATGTTATTTTCTATCCAATTTTTATGTGATTTGGTTTTCCTCATTTTTGGAGAAAGTGCTTAAAAGGTTCTTTTCTATTCAGAATGTGTACTAGCACGTATATAATGTGTGTATATATACATATATATGCTAGTCATTTGTATTCTAGATTATTTTGTAAACCCATTTTTACTGTATCGTTAAGGAAAAGTGAGTTTTCTAGATAAAGTAATACCTAGCTTTTATCTAGATAGCAATTTAAGGTTTTGCAAGGGCTTTACAAATAGTAACTCATTTAATCCTCATAACATGCTATTACAGATAGGTCTTGTTTTATATAAATTCTCATTATGCAAATTCAGCTTTGCTTAAAGAATTCTAAAGAAATCTTCATTCCAAATAAACTCTATTAACTTTACTATATACTACTGTGCTCTCTCCTTTCTCCTCCCCTCCCCCACCAAAAACAAACAAACAAACCCAAAACAACCCCAAACCCTCGAAGTGAAAGGAGAATAGGAGAGAATGTCACCAGTGAATAGGGGCTTGGCTTGAGACCTCCCACAGAAAGAGGAGACCTTTGCTCTGCAATGCCCACGTGTCTGTCTTCCGTCACAAGTCTTCTGTTTGTGAGCACTTAGATACACAAGTCCCGCGTCCAGGTGTTTGCAAAACCCCACCCCCCCAATAGGTGGTGTATTCCTCCTGCTCTCCCTTTTCTGTCCCAAGCCCCCATATGTTTTTGAACCACGTGCTGGCCCTTCCCTGCTCCAGCGACCCTCCCTTCCTCCCTTTTCTCCCTCCCTTCTCCACATTCAAAGGCAAAGGTAAAGGAGAACTTTCTGTGTTATTCCCGTTTTTACAGATTGGGAAACTGATAGTATCTTAGGCCACCTTTGAACTCTGATCTTCTGGACTCTAAATCTATCCATTGAGCCACCTAGCTGCCTCAAATGTATCACTTTAACTGTTTTTATGGAAATCTTTCTAACAGGGCTTCTGAGAGAACATTGAACAATCAATGATCACTTTATGAGTCAGGAATATCTTTATGAACAACACAAGGCGAAGTAATTACACTGTTATGATATGATGCCTTAGGGTCTGTTTGCCCTATTGTTAAATATTCTGACAATAGGAATGCAGCTAGGAATTACTGTCTGTGTTTTGATAATTTTTTTTTCCTTCAGTTTTAATTATTGCTGTCAACTTATACCTTTATTATTCTCTTCTTTTCTCTTCTGATTTCTTAGTGGATTGAGCACTGGTCTGGGAATCAGGAACTCATCTTCCTGAGTTCTAACTTGTGTGTACTTACTAGCTGTGTGACCCTGGGCAAGTCATTTAACCCTGTTTGCCTCAATTCCTTATCTGTAAAATGAGCTGGAGAAGGAAATGGCAAATCACTTCATTATCTTTGTCAAGAAAACCCCAAATGGGGTCATGAAGAGTCAGACATGACCAAACGACAGAAATTTCTTGTAGGCTGGGAAATCAGATAAGGAAATTTGAGAGGCTCTCTTAAGAATTACATGCAGAAGAGCTTTACTGTGTAGGGTTTGTGATATATTTTGATTTCTCAGAAGCCTATATTTTGGTCCTGACCTGTTATTTCATTAGAGATCTTATTTACTCAACAACAATAATAGTAATGATCAGTGTTTATATGGTACTTTAAGATTTGTAAATCACTTTATGCAAATCTCCTTTGTTCCTCTCAACACAATTCTTAGGTGCTATTATTGTTTCCTTTTTACTGATTAGGAAACTGTAGCTCTGAGAGCTTAAGTGACTTGCTCAGGGGCAAGTACTGATTGCCCTAGGCAGAATTTTAGCCTAGATCTTCCTGACCTCAAGCCTCATTTTCTCTCTACCCTGGCACCCTTCCCTTAATAAGCATTTATTAAGTATCGCCTATCTTCTAGGCGTTAAACTAGGTGCTGGGGATCCAAGACATAAATAAACCAGTTCCTGCTTTCTAGGAACTTAAATTCAGTGGGGGGAAGCAGCTTATATAGAGATAAATCAATACAATTCAAAGCAAATGAAAAGTAATTCCAAGAGGGAGGAGCAGCTTGGGAGATCATAAGATGGTAGATTTAAAACTGGAAAGGACCCTAGCAGTCATCTTTTGCAGTCTTCTCATTTCATAGATGTGGAGTCTGAAGCCCAAAGGGGTGAAATGAGGACAGGCTTTATATAGGAAATAGAAATCAAGATGAGCTTAGAAGGCTTCTAAGAGGCAGAGGTGAGGTGGGAGTGCATTCTAGTCACAGGCCCAAAGTTGTGAAGATTTATACCAGGAACAGCAAGGTAGGTCCATTTGATTGGAAAGTAGTCTGGGTAGTGAGGAGTAATGTGAAATAAGCGTCAAAACAAGAAGAGCAGCAACTCATGGATTTTTGTGGATTACAAAGTACTTTTCAGAAGATAACTACAAGGGGCAGCTAGGGGGCGCAGTGGATAGAGCACCCGCCCTGAATTCAGGAGGACCTGAGTTCAAGGTCTCTGACACATAACACTAGCTGTGTGACCCTGAGCAAGTCAACCCCATTGCCTAAA